GCCCAGTGCCTGTGCAGCGTGTGAAAAGGTTGGCGCAGTTAAACCTCTCCCCATGAATATGATTAACGTCGTTCACAAGGAGAACGGAGAGATGACCCAAGCATGGGGCGATGTTACAGGCAACGAACTTGATCCTAAACGAACAATGAAAGCGCGTCAGGAAGAGATGGAGCAGTTTAGGAAGCACAAAATTAACGAGAAAATGAAAGCAGAAGTGTGCTGGCAAGTTACGGGGGAGGCACCCATTGGAACCAGATGGATAGATATTAACAAAGGAGATGAGTTAAGTCCTGACCACAGGTCAAGGCTAGTGGCCCAACAAGTTAAATGCAACTCCAAAGAAAAGAATATATTTGCGGCTGCGCCCCCACTGGAAGCACAGAAGCTACTCTTCTCAATGGCGGTTGCCGAAGGAGTGGGATTTAAGAAAGGCGAGCGCGAGAAGGGATTAAAGCTGGCATTCATTGACGTTCAACGAGCTTACTTTTACGCTCCTGCAAAGAAAGATATATTTATCAGGCTACCGGACGAGGATTACGAGCCAGGCATGTGTGGAAAGTTACTGAAGTCAATGTATGGAACAAGAGATGCGGCAAGCAATTGGGAAGACTGTTACATGGACTTTGCCATTAAAGTTGGGTTCAAGAGTGGAGTTGCGTCACCGTGCGTGTTTAAGCACGAGACCCGAGCCCTATGGTTAACGGTCCATGGGGATGACTTTACTCTACTAGGTGGTGACCTTGATCTCGATTGGTTTGAAATAAAATAAAGGAGGAGTTTGAGGTAAATGTGAGAGGACGACTTGGACCGGGGGAGGAAGACATGAAGGCGATCAGGATTCTTAACAGGATTGTGGAGTGGACTGAGGAAGGATTGAGATATGGGGCTGATCAAAGGCATGCGGAAATAATTGTGAAAGAGCTTGAACTTGAGGGAGAAAGTGAGGACTGAGGTGCCAGGTGAACACATTCCAGTTGAAGAGGGAGGCGAGGTAGAACTTTCGCCCAGCATGGCTAAGCCATATCAGGCATTAACGGCTAGAGCGAATTATTTAGCTCAAGACAGATCGGACATACAGTATTCAGTAAAAGAACTTGCTAGGACCATGTCAAAGCCAACTATGGGTTCGTGGAAAGGTCTAGTCAAGCTAGGAAAGTATTTGAAGTATCACAGCAGAAGCAGTTACGTGTATCAGTATCAAGAACAGCCTCGAGAGTTGACGATTTGGACGGACACAGATTTCGCAGGATGTAAACGAACTAGGAAGTCTACGAGTGGAGGAGTAGTGATGTGGGGTAAACACCTTATAAAACCTTGGAGCACAACTCAAAGTGTAATTGCATTATCGTCAGGTGAAGCAGAATATTACGGGCTTGTGAAAGGAGGATCAGTCGGACTAGGACTTCAGACAGTGTTGAGGGGTTTGAACTTGGAAGTTGAGATCACCTTGAAAAGTGATGTCACGGCTGCAATCGCAATTGCGAGTAGACGAGGTTTAGGAAAAGTAAGACACATTGAAGTATGTCAACTGTGGCTGCAGCAGAAGGTAAAGGAGGGAGTGATTCGAATTGTGAAAGTAGGTACACATGAGAACGTAGCAGATGCATTAACCAAGTATGTCAGTCGTGAGAGCATGAGCACACACCTGCTAAACACAAACCAAAGTGCATTAACAGGTCGGCCCAGCCTTGCGCCGGCCACCGAGTGTTGACATCCGCAGCTCATTTCTGTCAAGCAAGCAGTCTTGATTAAGGCTTCCTCCATCCTTTACCTCTTTCCCTCGAGCGTGAACGAAAGCATGGCGGACCATCAAGTCAACGTCACGATCAACGGCGCGGCGGTCGACCAGAGCCCGCCTGGGGCAGGACCGGTTACGCGCGAGAACCTCAATCGCCGTGTCGACGATATCGTCAACGTGGCTCATGCGTTTACCGTGACCCTCACCAACATGGCCATTAACTTCCACGGGGCCTATGATAAGCACGTTGACGAGATGCAGAGGGTTGCCGATGACATGGCGCGGAGGATCGTTGACTTAACGCAGCAGAACACCGCCTTGGTTCACGCCAGTGACGATGTCAACGAGAACCTCAAGAGGGCGCAGGACGAGGTTAACAACCTTGTGGCGACGGTGACAGAGTTGAACATCAAGAATCGCGACTCGGAGGTTAACACGGCGGAGAATGCAACCAAGTACGGGCGCATTGACGAAAACATCGGTTGCCTCTTGAATACCGCCAGGCGCCTTGCCGAGAATATCACGCCCCTGCAGGACTTCGAAGGTAAACGTGATGCGGCGCTACGTATGCTAGTGGGAGTTGCCGAGAGGCATGAGGGCTTGCAGAAGTTCTTGGATGACCCGATCAACTCCTCGGTTACCGATATTCCGCAGGTGCCGCCGCCGTTACCTGGGTCGCCCCCGACGGCAGCACCCGCCCAGGCGCCACCCGTTGCCGCCACCGCGGCAGTCGGGCCCATGGCCACGGGCGCGCCCCTAGCGCAGCAGGTTAACGTGGCTCCGCCAGGCAAGGCTCCCCCTACTCAGGACCTGGCCGGCGTAACCGCTAAAGCCGGGGGGAGTCGGCGGTCCGTGTCACCGAACAAGATTCGACCGTCACCGTTGAGCCGGCAGGGCGGTGAAGAGCCACAGCCTGTTTACAAGCGGGCGCCGAAGGCCATGCGTGAACGTCAACGGGAGCTGGAGGAGTTGATGCAGATAGGCATGAAGATGGACGAGGATCGAACGGTTGGTGGTCAACGTGATGAGGCGCCAAAGGATCCTGCCCCCGTCGTAAATGCGAGGCCGGCCAAGCCGCCCCCTCCGGGGCTCGGCGAGTCCAGAGCGGCAAGCAGCGTTACCGGCGTGAAGCCCCCGCCTCCAGAGCCCAAGAGGTCACCGATCCAGCGCATCCCGCCACCGCAGCCTCAAGTCGTTAACCGCGCGACTGATCAGGTTGAGGGGTACTCCAGGACCGTCGCCAAGGCGGTGTGCCGCCCGCTGTGCCACGTCAACGGTCGCATGTCCATGCTGAACGACAGGAGCGACGACTACGACGTTAACTTTCGGGCGGAACCTGACCCCAGGGAGGTGGTAGCCTTAGCGATGAAGGCACGTGATAACTGGCGCAGGTTTGAGGGTAACTTCGTCGGGCACGTGGCGAAGGCGGGGTTAACGACCCCTGGCGGCAGGTCCATTCAGGGCAACACCGGGCGGGAGCTTAACGATTGCGAGGACGTGTTCGTTGACATCTTCGGCCAACACGCTTGCGGTTTCATCGGCTATGCCGTGTTGAAAGGTCCGATCAGCTGGAGATCTCAGTTAACGGGCAAAGAGTTGGCCAAGCATGATGAATGGGTTGACGCGGTTGGGCACGTGCAGTCCCTATTTGACGATGACTACGTGCCACCGCTCTACCTTAACGAGCTTCACTCATCGTGGTTTGAGCACCACAGTTGCCCGGACACGCAGGTGTACGTCAACAAGGTGCCAGAGATGAACGAGAAGCAGCTTAACGGTCTCCTCTTAACGTGGGCAGGAATGCTGCCCCACGGCGACCCCACCGTGATCTCCGTTAAGCACCTGGTGGAGGACACCCATGGGCCGCACGGTTACATCTCGACTGGAGTTACCGTGATTCGCTTCGCGACGCCCGGTCTCGCCAGGCTTTACTGCCGTTGCATGAACGGGCTCCAGGTGCATTGCCGTAACTACTTCATCGACGACCTCGAGGTCAGGAGCACCGCGGAGTTAAAGGGCAGTATCAGCAAGCCTCCAGTCTACTGGCACCAGACCATCTTGGAAGTTGCCCTTAACGATCAGGGATCCATGAGGGCACCTTACCGTGATAATTGGCCGGCCGATCATGTCACCGAGCGTAAAAGCGATCACCGTGAGAAGCTTTGCTGGTTTGGCTGGTTACCGTGCGACGACTTCCCCAACTGGCTTACCGATCCGGCCTGGACTGTGAACCCGTTTACCGGCGCTGCGGTCGAAGAGCACCTCCGTAACAATCCAGGCGGTGGGCCTCTGTTAAAGGCTCCCCACGCCAGTTACTGGAGAGCCATCGGCACTTGCCACAACATCGTTGACGGCTCAATTAAGAGCTACGATGAGGGGTGCTGGCTTGACGACGAGGAGCGCATTAACGCGTACGTGGACAACGACTACTACAGCCCGATGCAGGCCCTTAACAGGGTGTCGTCCTACACCGCAGCCGGCGTGGGCCATCGCGGGTTACCGAGGTCGAGGGGTTCACGAGCCCCGTCGGCGAGGCGCCCGCGCCGTCCGTGGAAGATGACAGGCAGTCAGCATGCTGCAGTTCACGCTCTTCCTCATCTCCCCTCTTAACTTGGCTTAACGATCGAGTGGCGGCAGCTTGTTGAGCTGAGTTTGTTTGCATGCGCATCTCTTGTTGTTACCGCAGGTATTGGCGAATAAAAAGCGAAAGCAATCAAAATCATCCAAATGCTAGCCTGCTGTGTAAACTTTAGATGCTTCGTTTGAACTTGTAACAGTGAAAGCGTTTACTCGAGCTCAGGTTACATGTGTGAGAAACTTGGTGCTCGTAAGCGCCGTCGCGAGACATTTCGAATTCGACAGTGTGATGAAGAGACTTAACGTCATTTGCGTGCGACGTTTTGTATAGTTTGACATGTTTTTGTGATTGTAGACGCCTCCCCGTCAGCCTATACGGACTAGCGTCCGAGGGGGGTGTTAACATGTAAGCATTCAGGTGACTGGGGAGTGAAGGTGCCCCCGTTACTTTTGGCTCAAGTGTTTAACGGCTGAAGCTACCGAGACTCGCTTCGCCGTGCGGAAGTAAAAGGTGACCGATCGTCATCGCTGTCACCGAGCTCCCGTGCAGAACCCTCCTCGGGGTTTTGCAAAAGGAGGAGGAGGAGAACGAGACAGAGGATGCGCGGGATGAAGAGGAGGGGTGTGTCGGTGGAGGTGGTTGAGGGAGGGGAGAGGAAACGCCCCGCTCGAGCGGCCGCCGCAGAGGTGGGCGACATGGTCACGGCTGAGGAGGGTGTCGAGCTGCAGGCGGCGAACGAGATCATCCACAAGACCAAAAAGGACCGCCCTCCGCCTCCTCCTCCTCCTCCTCCTCCTCCTCCTCCTCCTCCCTCTCCCTCATCCTCGCCTCCTCCTCCTCTTCCTCCTTCTCCTTCTCTCCCTCCTCCTCCTCCTCCTCCTTCTCCTCCTCCTCCTCCTCCCCTCTCCTCTTCCTCCTCCTCCTCCTCCTTCTTCTCCTCTCTCTCTCTCTCTCTCTCTCTTCCTCTCCTCCTACACCTCCTCCTTTTTCTCATCGTCCCCCTCCACCTCCTCCTCCTCCTCCTCCTCTCCTCCTCCTCCTCCTCCTCCTCTCTCTCCTCCTTCCCCTCCTCGCTCTCTCTCTCTCTCTCCCCCTCTTCCTCCTCCTCCTCTCCTTCTCCTCCCCCTCCTCCTCTCTCTCTCTCTCTTCCTCCTCCTCCTCCTCCTCCTCCTCCTCCTCCTTCCCTCCCTCCTTCTCCTCTCCTCTCCTCCTCCTCCTCTCCTCCTCCTCCCCTCTCCTCCTCCTCCTCCTCCTCCTCCTCCTCCTCCTCTCCTCCTCTCCTCCTCCTCTCCTCCTCCCTCCTCCTCCTCCTCCTACACGTCCCCTTTTTTCTCCTCGTCCTTCTCCGCCTCGTCCTCTCTCCTCTCCTCCTCTCTCCTCTCTCCTCTCCTCTCGCCTCTCTCCTCTCGCCTTTCTCTTTTCTCTCCTCTCTCCTCTCTCCTCCTCCTCTCTCCTCTCTCCTCTCTCCTCTCTCCTCTCTCCTTTCTCCTCCTCCTCATCCTCCTCCTTCTTGGCTTTCCCCCTCGTGGTCATCTTCCCTTACATCCTTTCGACGACTCGTGCCTAACGTCGCTGCTAAAAAAGGGCTCGAATCTGGCCAACCAGACGGCGGCCAGTGGCGCCTCGGTCTGGGCCGCCAGGGGCCTTGAAGGCCAGGGCGGCAGCCGCAGGCCGTCCATGCCCGGAGTCGGTGGTGGCTCCCTCTGCTTTCTCAGCGAGGCCTCCCTTTTTGATCGGCGGCGAGCCGAGGGGGGAAGTTCGACGTTTTCTGAGGTTTTCGTCGGTTCCTTGAGGCTTTCTGGCCTCGGGGTGCTTTCCAGCGGCTGCGCCTCGCCGAGAGGCGTCCCCGGGTGCCCGCATCGTCCCGAACTGCCGCAGGAGACCAGCGTTATGACCCGAAGATCTCTTCGTCGGCGCGCCGAGGGGGAAGGCGGGGGTGGGGGGGCGAGCCTTCTCTGAAGACGGCGAGACTTCTCAGAAGGCCAGAGGGTTCTGAGCCTTCTGAGAAGGCCCGCCACCTCTGTCTTCCTCCTGGGCGTGCCGCCGATGTAGGGTTCGGGGCCCATTGACTGGGAGGGGGATGGGAGGGAGGTGCAGGGGACAGGGGAAAGGGGGATAGGATGGGGAGGACGAGGTCGGGGAGGGCGTCGACTGTACACCTGCACGGATGCAGGCCGATCCTGGGCCCAGTATCGATGTACAGGCCTTCTTGCCCAAGCGAGGAGGGCGCGTAAACCGATTCTGGGCCCAGGATGGCCAGGATCGGTGCAGGTCTATAGTTGGGGTTCTCCTCTGAGGGTGAGGGGGGGAGCTTTTGGGCCATGCGTGTGGGCAGAAGTATCCGCCCTGATTCGCCAGGGTAAGCTGCCGATCGTCACCAAGACTGGCTACCTCGTGGTGCCCGCGCTGCCCTGGGGCGTTGAACGACGATGACGGCGACGATAACAAGGGGGAAGTTTGCGATGCGAGATAGGGAGGATTGTTGAAGGATGACGGCTGCGCTGGCTCTGCACCGTTGGCAATCCCTTCCTCCAGTCTCCTATCTTCCTTGTTCTTGCATTATTGCCTTCATTGCTACCTTCACTCCTCTCCCCCTTCGACCTTCTTTTACCTTTTACCTTCTACCTTCCGTTACCTCATCATCCTTCCTTCTACCTCTTATGGTTTTTCCCTTACCTCCTCCAGTCTGCATCCTCGATCTTTCTCTCTTGCTCCAAGCGAGCGGAGGGGGAACTCCATACGACACCAGAGGGTCTCAGGAGGGCCCCGAGATGCCCCACCAGGCCCGCAGTACGCCACAAGAGGCCGCCAGAAGGCCTACAGAATCTGAGACGGTCCAAGAGAAGAGAGGGCACCACGCTGCTCAGCCTTGCGTGCGCCCTCCCGCCCAAGATGGAATTCGGGAAGCTCTCTCCCTGGCGGTGGCAGAGGTGGTTCCGCTGCGTCACCCGCTGGGAGAAGGGCAGGCAGCTGGCGAGGCCCTCCTGGCGTTCCAGAGTGCCGCGGATCTTTCAAAGCGTTCTTTCTGCACCGAGCAGCTTGCTCCAGAGATGGACCCAAGATGGACGCACCTGCCGGGTGATGAGCGGCGGGCTCCAGGGAGCTGGGCTGGCCGCGGCAGCGGGAAGCTGCGGTGCCAGCGCCGCAGGGGGGAGTGGCGGTACGGAGGGGACGCGCGCGCGCTGCCGGGGAAGGAGGGGCGGGGCTGACGGCGGTGGGGGGAAGCTGCGGTGCCAGTGCTGCGTGCGCGCGCGCGCTAGAGCAACTTGTTCGGTTCGGAGGGGTTGCGGCTGCTGGGGGGGAGCGGGGTTGGCCGTGGCGCTGGGGGGCTGCAGTGCCGGTGCTGGTGCCGTGAACGCGTGGGAGCGTGAACGGTTCTGAATGGTGAGGTCGAGGCGCAGGGGGCGCGCGAGCGGCTGGGGGAGGACGGGCGGGGCTGGCGGCGCGGGAGCTTGTGGCGCGAAAGGGAACCGTGCTGCTGGTGCCGTGCGTGTTTGCGTCAGGTCGAAAATGTTGAGGTCGGGCTGGAGGGGCACGCGGGCTGCTGGAGGCGGAGGTGCAGGGCTGGCGGCCATGGGGCGGGGGGGGGGGCGGCGGAAGGGGCGGGGCGTGTCGCGGCGCAAGGGGGCTTCGGCGCAGGCGCGGCGCGTGCGCGCGCGAATTGTTCGACGCGGGGGTTCCCAGATGTGCATCTCATTTCCTGGCGTGTCCCGCTGTGAGCGTCTGGCCGTGAGCGTCTGGGTGCCATAGTGAGTCCGAGTGGACGACGACGACGACGACGACGACGACGACGACGACGGCGGCGGCGGCGACGACGGCGACGACGACGACGATGACGGCGGCGGCGGCGGCGGCAGCGGTGGCGACGATGAGGGACGGCGACGACGACAACTCAAAGACAGAGGACAGGCGGTGAGCAGGCCCCCCGTTCCCTTCTCTTCCTCCCTCCTCCCTTCTCCCTCTTCCTGCGGTCTTCTCCTTCCTCCTCCATCCTCCCTCCTGCATCCTCCCTCATTCCTCGTTCATCCGCCCTCCTCCTTAAGTCGGAGTGATCATGGGGCTCTGAATTGACCGGAGTCGGAGGTGCAAAACCAGGCACCTTGCTCCATACAACCCCACGACTTGGCCGCCTGGGATGCTGAATCCAGCGCCTCGCTTGAGAACTCCTTGATTCAAAGCACAGGAGTTTGAGCCACCAAACAGGCAAACCGCCGACAATCTGGCCGCGTGGTGTGCCGCGGTGGCGGCTCGCGTGTCCACCGCGTAGCGTCGTTGCGAATTTGTTCCCAAGGTGTCTCTGTGTTCGTCGTTGGAATCGGTGCAGGCAGATTGCTCTCGCCACCCCTTGCAGGCCCTGATCGCGAGGACGGACCTCAAGAAGAACGCAGAATTCCCCCTCGCGACTAAGGAGCGCCCCGGGAACGAGGGACCCTGGAGACTGCTCTTCAGCCGCTGTGGTTCAATCGCAGCGTGGCCGGGTGGGGGGTAAACCACATCAGGAGGCCTGCACGTAGGAGTTCTTTCGACTTAGTTTCGCGAATCGGCTGCGATTTATTGTTTATCGAGAACAACTGCGGGTAACCACCGCCGCACCCTGCCATTTTGAAAACTTAAGGCATTTGTGGCCCCGAACATGTATGTAAAATTTCCCCAGCAGCGGCTGAACTCTGGTTGCGCGAACTGTTGTCGGGAAGATTTGGGGAGCACATAGGGTACAGTGTGAAGGGCATCTCTCGTTTTCTTTTGAAGCTCTTTTGGGGTTCTCTTCGGCGTTATCGGAGGCGTCCCGAAGCTCTCTGGAGCCGTGTTTGGGTCTTCTTGTGCCGCCTTGGGGGCTCTTGGGCCTTTTGGTGCCGCTGGAAGCCATCTTGGGGATCTTGGGGGCCATCTTGGGGATCTTGGGGGCCGTCGTGGGGCATCTCAGTTTTGTTTTATTCGTCGGTGCTTCTTGAAGGCTCTTAGGGCGTCTTAGACGCTTCTTGGAGCCAACTTGGGCTGTCCTCGGGCCAAGACTGGGTATGCCAGGACCATCTTGGGCCAACTTGGAGCCCGCCTTGGGCCGTCTTGGCCGTCTTGGAGGCAGGCTCTGTGCGATTTTGGGGTTAGGCGTGGTTGGCCACAGGGCTTTGGGGATCTTTTGGAGGAGCCTGACTAGTTCGGGAAGCTCCTGCACGCCCAGTGCCCTGTGATAAATCGACAGCGGGCGACGGATCGAAGACGCCTACGGCGAATCAACGCCGCCCCCTGCCTTGTGGAGTCACTTTAAACGGAGAAGGTTAAAGGCGAGGTATAAATCGAGCATGTACCGCTGCCGTGCCTGGCTCAAGCCGGGCCCGGCCTGATATGTGACTGTGCTTCACCGAGGCGCACTACTTGCATCCGAGATCGGAAAACATCCTTTCCATTGACGATGCCCATCTTACTCTATACTCCAGATCCCATGCTTCGTCTCGCTCTCTTGCTCATGCGATATGAGCCAAAGCCTGGGATATGGGAGCGCCTAAGGCGGACTACATACCTAAGCTTACCAGCTTGTTTTCGACTTGGTAGCGGAGCTGGCTACACTCTCGTGTGGCTGGCTCTCGCTCTGATTCCAGTAATCCACGGCACAACTTGGTGGACTACTACCACGGTGGAATACCATGTTGCGCCAGCTCTGCGAGGAGCGGAGCCAGTCCGCGATCGAGCTAGCGGGGTCACCCGCGAACTCGAGACGCTTTCTCCTACTTCACTGCGCTACTTCACTCCTGACTTCCACCAGATGCCAATCGGCAACTCGATCGAGAACGTGGTCACCCTGCGGGGCTACCCGCAGCGGGGCCACCTGCATCCCGTGCCGGTCAGGCGCCTCACGGCTACCACGCCAGAGCCTGACAAACCACAGCCTAAACCAATCACCGAAGCCGAAATGCATATGCATTGGATCAAGATAACTATCTTCGGCATTCTATGGGTGATAATGGGATGTGCTGTGGGATACATGCGGCAGGGGATGGACGACACGCGTACTACTGGCCCTACATGGGACCCTGCCGGTACTACGCCTTTCCGCGAATACGTTCGCGAAGTACATGCATGGTTAAACGTAACGAGCGGCAATATGACACCACCACAACAAGCTGCAGCACTACAACGAGGCCTTCAGGTCTGGCTCGTCGTATCGCCATGCAGGTCCCCTCCCAGATCATCAATTATGGTGTAACTGTCAATGGACAGCCAACGGATGCAGTAACCTACATACTGTACTTACTGAGCACCAAATTTGAAAATCTGGAAGATGAGCGCCAGCTCAACTCTGGCACGGCCCTTATCGACTTCCGCGTCGAAAGGGGCGAGCGAATCGACTCAGTATTAGCTCGATTCGAGATGGCCCGTGACGAGGCTAACTCTGTTGGCTTTGTCATCCCCAACTTTCAGATCCTAACGCTGATTCTCTTCAGAGCGTTAGGCGTTGGCGCGTCACGAGCCCAACACCTGCTTGAGCCCTTCAATCATCAGATGCCCCGAACACAAGCAGACTATGACAGGCTGCTGACCAGGATGAGGAACTACGGACATGTTGCCGAGCGCTCTCCTGGCAACATAGCGGGTATCTTCGCAGGGCACCACTCACATGCAGGTGTCTACGCCACGACTGCGGGGTCACCCGCTGGTCCTGGCGAGCCAAATCCCTGGGCTGACCCAGCCGATATGCCCAGCGAGGCCACTGCCCTTCTAGGGCAGACCGGCCAGGCATCGGCAGAGGCAGCTGAGGCGAACGCCTGGTCGAACTACTCGCCAGGCGCCGCCTGCACTGCAAGCCCGCCCTCGGGCACAACCCTCTGGGGCCAAGCGGAGTCATCCGCTCAATGGTCTCAGCCACCCTCACCGTTTGAATCTGGCACTGACACAGATACTTCATCTGACGATGAGCACAATGGAATAGTCTCTGCTGGTAATGACTATCCAGCGGACGACACTCACCTTTCTGAACAGCAAAGGGCGGAAGCCGCCTTTATGGCTTATCGCAAATCAAAACGCCGTTGGAGGCGCTTTATGAAGAAACCAGTCAGAAAGGTGAGACGTGCAGTACGCCGACATTTCAAACAATTTGGAAAGGGTCGTGGTAAAGGGGGTCGCAGACGCCGTATGCATGGTAGGGGTATTACTGCTTTCCTCACGTCCTTAACTGATATGGCTTTTGAAGAAGTTCTTATCGGAGGCAAAGGTCGGGGTCACAGGCGGACCTCCGGTAAGGGAAAAGGGGCGGAGGGGCAACCCTAGGGACGCTTCTGGTAATACTATGAAGTGTCATACATGCGGTAGCACAGAGCATTTGCGCGATCAATGCCCGAAGGGGAAAGGAAAGGGATCCGTACACTTGGCTCAAAATTCTTTTATGGATGACATAGATTACATTGACTACGAGTTTTACGTCAATCCAGAAGCGGCTCCCGCTGCGGGCTCCTCCACGTATTACGTGATGGCCCGCTATGCTGAAGCAACTGTGGCCCTGGAAGACTACGCAGTGACCCTCTTCGACGAGTTCCACGGCTGGGACGAGGTCGATGAGATTGCGTACAATGCTTGGTTCGGTCTTCCAGCGGGGCCACCCGCCGGTGACGAGGTCTCCGAAGCCGAGACTGTCCCGGCAACAGAGGAAGAACTCACCGCCGCGCTGGCCCCACAAGTGATTGGCATGCCGTTGCTGCCAAATCCGTCGTGGGCTGGCTCGGAGATGGGAGACGCCGATGACGAAATGCGGGGCCATCCCGCGTATTCCGACTCCGAAGAATCCGAAGAAGATTATAACGACATGCTCCAAGAGCAGGTTTCAGAAGCAATCCGACTCTTGAGTGCGCCAGCACAGCAGCAGATGACGATGAACGAACTGCTGTCGCACCCAGGAGTTGCCCGTCTACGTCCATACTTGGATTCGAACATGTCAGCATCTCAGATGCTTACAGCACTCCAAGCTCTAGCGGGGTCACCCGCCGAAGAGATGCTAGACACAACAGCGGGGCCACCCGCTTGGTCTATGGATGTATTCATGCAAGGTTGCGATCAAATGAACATTAACGACCTCTCGATGGAGCAGTTAAATGACATCGGATACTTCAGAAGCCCGTATCAAAACGTGTTCATGGTCCAGGACAGCTCAGAGGACTCGGAGGACATGCGGTACGCCAAGAGGGACAGGCGACCGTCGCCTCCCCGAGACTCAGAGCATGACGATCAAAGGCCAGTGACACGTGGTAGTGCGTCAGCGGGGCCAGCCCGCGGAAGGAGCCGCTCAGCTCCTAGACGCCCTACGCATGATGAATCGGGCTATCCATACAGCACTGAGCACTCCGTTGGAGTATCTGCTCAGCAGGTGCCGGATTGGTACATCAGATGGTACCCCGGCTACTCTATGGATACTCTTCGGCACTGGTATTCTAAGGAATACTGTACCAAAAGGGACGAGACTGGCGCGATAATCCGTACCAAGGGCGGCAAGACCAAGACGCCAGAGGCCTGGGACAAAAGGGCGAAGAAGCAGGAGATCATCACTGACCGCAAAACGTACAGAAAGCAAGTATGTCAGTGTGAGCCCTTCAAAGGCCACATGCGCAGGTGTCCGATGGACCGCCCCTCCAGGAGCCCTCACCATGGAGAGACCCCGTGGAATTGGTCTCATGGAGACGACGCGGGTAACGTCCATGATCCGAACAAAGAGGTTCCTGGAGGAGGAAAGCGCATCACAGAGGCCGATCGCGTCCCTATGACCGAAGAGGTGGCCAATACCGTCAGGGAAAATTGGGCAAAGCTTCCCAATGACCACCGCCTCAAGGAATGGAACCGCCGATTCCATAAGGAAGCGGGGTCACCCGCAGAATCCAGTAAGGAAGCGGGGTCACCCGCAGAATCCAGTAAGGAAGCGGGGTCACCCGCAGAATCCAGCAAGGAAGCGGGGTCACCCGCAGAAGCAGCACCAGCCGCTGGATCTGCGGACGAGTGGATAGACGTTGTCTCTGCTGCCGGGTCCGCCGCCGGCACTGACCGCACCGAGCTAAATGAAGAGTGGGCGGCGGAAGACGGTTCAGAGAATCCATTCCCTGACGGAAGCGCCTGCTGGTACTACAGCTCTTCGGCGCAGAAGTGGTTCTGCACGAGGGTACTCTACCGCCATGAGAATGGCAAGTACAAGCTGGCCATAAAGGGTACTGCCGACATCGACCAGATGAGGCAGGTCATCCATGATCATGGCCAGCCAGAAGGCCCTCCTAGAGACCCTCCTGGTCCACGACCAGGCAAGAGCAGCAGACCACCGCCAAGACCTAAAGCCGACTCCTCGTCTTCACCGACTCCTGCGAAAAGGCACCCGTCCAAGAGCCCCGAAGGCACACAGGGGCGGGCGAAGGTCAGAGGGATCGCCAAGACGGACGA